AATTTCACACACAGGCACCCCCCCCACACATAAATGTGTAAGTAATTTTATAGTGTAGTTTTTTATAATTTCATAGACTAGATTGATTTCCTTCTGTTAAATGTACTCAAAATATTGTACTCTTCTTTCTTACCACTTACCTCTGAGTGGAAGAGCCTACTTATCCGTTGCACCAGCCAATTTCTCTTTTTCACTATGCTGTCAACACCTTTAGTGCAAAGATCATATCTGTCTAGATTACCACTGGCATTTGAAATAGGGTTTTTCTTCAGAATCATTCATTCATCTATTTAGTAAGAATTTACAGAATGAATGAATTTGGAACAAAACTTGTGATTATTTTTAAGAAATATTTTATTTGTTTTTGTTTTATGTAAATCAGTGCTTTACCTGCATGCATGTCTGCGTATCACATGCATACAGTGCTCACGGAGGCAAAAAGTGGGTGTCAGATCCCCCAGAACTGGAGTTATAGACAGTTGTGAGCCACCACGTGGATGCTAGGAATTGAACCTGAGTCCTCTGGAAGACTCTTAAACACTGAGCCATTTCTCCGGGCCCTGAAATTATCTTTAAATCATCCTCTTCTTCCCTTCTTTCTTATAACTATATCAACTTTCATACAAATAGTTGAAGAGAAAAAAATGGAAGGTGTTTATATTTGTTGGACCTACTGTTTGATGCCCATGTAACTGGGATAGGGAGTTGTAGGAGGAAGTCAGTGGTGATCAGTAGGAGCTAAAGGGGTGGCTTGGAGAGTAAACTGCTTGATGTGTGAGCAAGAGGAACTGAGTTCAGGTCTCCAGGACCAACATAAAAACCTACACTCAGAAGAGCATGCATGTGACCCCATCATCGAGGAGGTAGAAACAGAGGGCTACTTGGGGATTGCTGGCAAGCTAGTCTAGCTGATTGTAAACCCCAGGTTCAAGGAGAGAGCCTGTTTGGGGGGAAAAAGGTGGAGAGTAGTTGAGGAAGACATCTGACATCAACCTCTGGCTTTGACACACAGACATACATATACACAAACATGTACATACACACAAACACATATAAAAACAGGTGACCAGTAATTTTAGAGAAAAGTAGTAATGCAGAATTAGACATAAATATTATAGTTCTATCCTATCTAAATTGTCTTCTTTTTAGTAGGCACTATTAATTTTAGAGAATAAAACTGACATTGTGGATTAGAGAATCAAGTCAACTCT